TGGCTGACCCATACTCCGGAGTTCTCATCTGAATCTCCCCCCACCACTACCAGCCCCAGGCTCTGTCAGGCCCAGGTCTCTGGCCCGACCCTTCTGTACCCACACTACCCTGCCCCGGCGGCACCACTAGCTTGGTCCTAACCCTCCAAGCCCACTCTCCTGTGTCCCTCCCAGACCCTTGAACCCCCTCTACCTTGGGGCCTCTCCCCTGCCCCACTCACCGGGCCCCCTCTGAGGCCTCAAACACTTCATCTTCCACATCCTCTTCCCCGCCTGCCTCCTCCTCCTCCTCCTCCTCACTGCCGCTGCTGGGCTGAGGGCCAGGGCACGGGCCAGGACGTGGCACAGGTAGGCAGGCTGTGCCAGGCGGGCCTTCGGAGCTGGGCTGACTCTCGATGGCAGAGTCGGCCTCCTCCCGCTCAGCCAGCACTTCGTCGATATCCGTCTCTCGGTAGCACCTCAGGGGCACTGTGTCCAGGTCTGTCTCCGAGTACGTGGCTCTCCCCACAGCCACCCCAGAGCCCTGCCCTGAGCCCACCCTGGACAGAGATGGGGGGCTCTGCTCTGGGGGCTTAGCACCTGCAGGATGTATAGGTGTCCAGGTCAGGCAGCCCTCCAGGGCAGTCTCCTAGCCTGCTTCTGCTCTGGGAACTGTCCCATGGCCCTCATATGAGCAGCAGGAAGTCCCTTCACTGTCTAGCCACCGTTCCTCATGCTACAAACCCGGCTTGTTCCCAGAGCCACCACCAGAACTCATTTCAAACCAAGTTTGGGCCTGGGAGAGCAGCCTCTTTTTCCTTCCAAGGAGTGGCCCTTGAGACCCTCCCAGATTCTGTTTCTACTACCCAGCTTCCGCCAGGCACCCTGCCATATGTGGTGAGAGGGATGAGCCTGGAGGAGCACCTGCTAGCCCACACCCCAGGCAGGGACTGGGGAAGTTTTGGCAAAGGTGCTCTTTCGAGGCCCTGCCATGTCCCCCTGGCCTCAGACCCAGGCCTCACCTGAGCTGGGGGGGTCCAAGGAGCCATAGAAGAATTCCCATTTGGCTCGAGCGATTCTCTGGGCGTGAGAAGAAACTTCCCGGGGGGAGAACCAGGTGTCCCCCTGAGCCAAGGAGGGAGAGATAGACATAGGCCCCCAGAGATAAAGCCAAACATAGAGATGCAGGAACATGGGACAGAAACGCATGTACAGGCAGAAATGGGGGTGCAGACACAGGCCAAACACGGAGGGCAGGGAGCTATTTCGGACAGATTGAAGGATTCAGATTCAAAGCAGACAGACCAAGTCTACCAGCTGGCCAAGCCTCACCCCTTCACTGGGGCACTGCGGCTCCAGGGAGCCCAAGGGAGGGTCCCATACCTGGTTCAGGAGTCCGGTGTTGGCAGGTCCTCGTAATAGCGTGGCCAGGTGCTCAGGGGGACCCCCGAGCCCATTGGGGAGAGAGGAATAAAGGCCATCTGCCCCAACCTGGGGTGGGGTGGGGGGGCCAGTTAAGGGGCCTGGGCTGTCAGACAGGACAGAACGTCCTCCAGCTGGAAGCGGGTCGGAAGTGGAAGCCTCCAGCCGCAGCTTCCGGTTGGAGCCAGGCCTAAGGGCTGGGGTGGGTCTGGGAGGAGAGACCCCACCCAAGTCCCAACTCCGACTCAGGCCTCCAGGAGCCGGCAAGCCATTCAGTGGCCTCACACTGGCCTTCTCCACAAGGCGGAAGATGACCACAGAGCTCCGGGCCCCTGGTGGAGGCTGCCCCGGGGGTGAAGAGGGTGCCCAGGGTGAGGGAGCAGCGCGGGGTGAGGGGGAACCACGCAGGGGCGTACAGGGTGCTGTCACACGGCCCAGTTCCCGGCCCCTGGGACCTGGTCCTGCCACCCGCCGCAGCAGGGAGCCTGTGCTGCCGTACATGCTGGCTGGGGGGCTCTGGGGCACAGGGCCTTCGGGGAGCCAACGGCGTGGACATCGTGGAGGGGAGATGGCACAGTCGCCTTCCGAGCAGAAGCGCATGGCACCCTGGGCCATGCTGGGGCCCGGGGGTCAGGCTGGGGGAGCAGGGGTGGCGAGGCCAGGCGGGGAACGCGGGGGCAGCATGCTCTTCAGATAGGCCTGCAAGAGAGGAAGGGGAGCAAGGGGTAAATTGTGGAGAGCTGGGTGGCAGGGTTGGGGAGGGGGTGCAGCTGTGTTGGGGGCCCTAGACCACCCGAAAACACATATGATCCCACCCTGGGAGGGACCTGGCCTCTGGCTCAGGAGAAAGGAACTTCCCCCAGTGGCCCTTGGACCCTCTCCTGCCAGGGGCCCCTGGGCTCACCCTGAGAGGACAGAGGAAGCTATTTCCGAAGGTGGGTGAGCCCAGAGTCCCTGTGGCACTCTGGAGCTGTTTCTGGTGGGGAGAGACTGGCACCCCACCCTCTGGACCCAGGGTGCCAGCCAGCCATCACCATCATACAGCCCTGGGTTCCCCACAGGCCCTCTTGTGAAGGCTCCTCACTCAGGAAGGGGGAACTCAGGCCCCCTAAAAGGAAAGGAAGAAAAAGTTGGAGAGGTTACACAGGGCCAAAGAGGGCCCCAGAGAGGCACAGGGAGAAGAAAGGCAGAGAGATTCCCACGGCCCAGTACCTCCAGGCTGCATGAGAACAGGACACGCTGGTGCTTCAGACAGGTACCGAGGCACACACAGGCCAATGGGAGCACAAATATGCCCGAGTACAGTTAGACAGGCAACACCCTCCAGCACACATACTGGCGCACACACTGCTCAAAGCCACACCCTCACACACTCACAGTCATAATAAATATGTGTGCAACGAAAGGCACATGCTTGGTTTACACCCGTGCTGTCATACAGAGCACACAAAGAGAGAGGGAAATATACATGCCGGCCCCCACTCTGCGGTGTGTGTGCACACACGTGTGTCAGCAGACACAGAGACCTGCTGCTGCACAATCCCACACATTCAGGTGCACGCTTACACACTCAAGCAGGGACACACACACTCCACCCCCAACCCGAGTCACAGGTCTGGGGGTGGGGGCTGCACCAGGCCCTTCTCCCACCCCGACCCCAAGGGGGTACAACAGATCTTCCTCATACCTGTATAGCCCTAGAGGGAGCCCAAAGGGAGTAAGGGGCTTCTGGAGGCAATGTAGGGTGGGGGCAGAGGTCACCGGCACAGCGGCAACGCCGCCAGGTTCCCACAGCTCAACCGGCGCCCAGAGCGTCCCCAGGGCAGCCCCACCTGGACTCAGAGCCACCTCAGTACTCACCGCTGCTCGCCAGGGGCTGGGGCCGCGGAGAGGCGGGGAGAGGCCGGCCCAGCTCAGCGGTGAAGGCAGCGCGGATCCCGCTTGCTCCAGGCCCGCCCGCCTCTCAGTCCCTCCCCCTCCTCCCTACGCGCCGCTTCGGCAACGCAAATCCGCACACCCGCCCGCCCCCCAACGCCCTCCCGGGGGCCCCTGAGCCTTGGGGCTGCCCAGCTCGGTCCACAGGTCCCCGCAGTGCGCTCCCGCCAACCCGAGACCCGCCCGGGACGAGGAGGGGGGCGTACGGAACCCTCCAGCGCCCCACCCCACTCGCGTCCCCGTTCTCTCCCACCGCCCCCTGAGCCGCACGCAGGGCCCAACTGCACACGCATGTCCCGCTCAGACCCCACGCGTGTCCCCGGGCGGCTGCCACATGACCTGTTACATGGCACACGCGCTCCCGCCCCCACGAGCACGCGGCCACGCCAAGCACACGGTATGGGTGTAAACCTGACCCGCCCCCTAAAACCACAGACCGTCCATTTAATGGAGGGAATATCTAGGGAACACGGACGTCCGCCTCAACTCCTTCGGGCTCTGAGTCTAGGATCCAGGCGACTCAAAACCCGGAGTGCAGCATGAAGGATGTTAGTCAGACTTCAGAAAGAACTTCCTTAATCCCGAGTTAGGAGTCCTAATGTCCTGAGAGTGAGAGCTTAGGTGAGGTGGCCCGAGACTGGAAGACGTGGGGGACATGCAACCTCTTTTTCCTCTGGTGCCCTTGGCCAGGGTAGAAGGGGGCATTGCTATTTTAAGAAAGCACTGCTCAAGTTACTATGGTAACCGATTTCCTTGGGAAGGCCAAGGCGGGCGGTGGTGACTTCAGAAGGAAGAAGGGGGTCTATTCGGGCGGTCCGGGGACCCAGGAACGTGTGAAGCGGGGGCGCGCGCGCGGGGCTCACCGCCGGGAGGCGCGGTACGTGTTCTGCGTGGTGCTGAAGGGGACAGCAGCAGATTTGTCGCACTGCGCAGGCGCAGAGGTGCAAACAAAGCAGGGAGGGGGGAGGAGGCGCGCACCTTCAGTGGTGCGCGCTCCCGTGGCTCTATCCCAGCGGAGGTTACTCCTTTCAGCTATCCCCTCTCCAAGCAGGATGAGGCTGAGGAGGAACCATCCCCTTCTAGCCCTTCCCTGCTACTGACCTCCCCCGTCTCACCGCGTGCGGGGGAGGGAGAGGGAGTGTGGACCGTGGCAGAGGTTCTGGGAAAATCGTGATGCCTGAGTTCTCTATCCCTGACTCTCTTGACCTGGATAAATAATTTCCTTTCCACGCCCTTGGTTTCCCCAACTTTAAAACTGAGTGGTAACACAGTCCTGCCAACCTTGCAGGAGTGCCCCAAGCGCTACTGAGATAACGGATTGGAAGCTGGTCATGTTATCAAGAGACAGATGGAGAGGTTGCACCGAGGAAGTTTGCAACCCTGCTGGGGGCAGCTCTCAGCCACAGCAGAAGCTGCCGAGGGAGCGCCCGCCCCCTCAAGACTAACGGGGGAAGAACTGCGCCAGAGTTTCCCGGAGCGTACCCCGGAACTAGAACCCAGTGGGAGGGCAACCCGGAGACATAGCCCAGAACCCTACACCACTCCTGGAGAACCAGAACCCCTAGCGGACCGAGCTGAACACTCATTCTTCTCAGGTCTGTAGGCTTCTTGGGAAAAAGGAAGGGATCCAGTTGAAGATAAAACCTTCTCAGCACCCGTTTTAGATTCGACCCCACCCCACCCCCCATAACCCATTATGTCCTGGAGTAGCTGGAGTTGGATAGCGCTGTTTAATCCGGAGGAGGAGGAGGTCAGGGCAAGTCCTGGTGTCTATTTAACAAAGAGAGAAAAAATCTAGTTTGCCCACTCATTCATTCAATAATTATTTATTGAGCACCTACTCTTGACCAGTAACAAGTCTTGGCGCTTTACCCCATTTTTTCAGAATCGCCAGGGGGCGGTAGAGGTAAAGCAGGAACGAGTCTTGGCTCCGCCCCTTTATGTATCTAGTTTTGTTTGCTCCTCCCACTACCACCTCTCTAGCCAGGTAGCCACTGGCCTAAACCAAAGACAGAAACCAGTCTCTGCTGGTCCCTTCGCGTTGCAGCTGCGGGTCTCAATGCCTGTAGCTGAGAAGGCGAGACCGAATGTTACACCGCCGGTCTGTTTCGCCTCACTTTTGTAGTCCATCCGGAAGGTTTTCAGATAGGAGCCTCAGTGAGACGGCACTCGATTGACTCTGCCTGTCTCTTCAGCCGAAGTAGGCGGGTTCTCTGTGGTTGTTCCCAGGCGGATGCCAAAAAAAAAAAAAAAAACACCCCCAAACCATCTTACTGCGCAAGCGCAGTCGTCAGCTGAAGGAGCCACGGATGGAGCCGTCCGGAGGGCAGCAAGAGCCCGGAGCCGTCAGGTACCGAGGACTAGAGGGGCCGAGGCAGGGGAGAGAACCTCGGAGAGGAGCGGAGTCGGGGCTGGGGGCTGGGGGCTGCTCCCGAGCCGCGGCCCAGGAGAACGGAGGCGGACTCACTGGAGGCCGAGCGGGCCTGGGACCCGCCCCCATGGCTCCTGTACCCGCAGGCTCCTGGACCTGCCCTGGGAAGACGTGTTGCTCCCACACGTCCTGAGCCGCGTCCGGCTGCGACAGCTACTCCGGCTGCAGCGCGTCAGCCGGCCTTTCCGGGCTCTAGTGCAGCTGCACCTGGTGGGGCTGCGCCGCTTCGACGCCGCTGAGGTGAGCCTGGGGCCGGCGACCCGCCCTCGTCGGGGCACCGCTCCCGCCCATCCCCCCGCCCCTCCGTCCTGCTGCCTAGCTTTCGGAGCTCGCGGGGGGCCGCCAGGGCTGCCCGGGCCCCGGCCCACGCAATGGGGCGTACTCCTTAAAACTGGCCCAGGTACCGACTGCGAGGGCGCGTGAGCCTCTCTTAGGAGGACCGGCCGTAAGCCCGAAGGCAAGCGACTGGCAGGAGAGAACTCCCCGGGCGCCGACAGGCACCGCCCCCCAGCCCCTAGGGCAGGCTGAGAGTCCCGACGCCTCTGCCCACAGGTGGGCCCCCAGATCCCAAGGGCCGCTTGGACCCGGCTGCTGCGGGACGCCGAGGGGCTGCAGGAGCTGCTGCTGTCACCGTGTCATGAATGGCTGTCCGATGAGGACCTGGTGCCGGTGCTGGCGCGGAATCCGCAGCTGCGGCGCGTGGCGCTGGTCGGCTGCGGGCAACTGAGCCGCCGCACGCTGGGGGCCCTGGCAGAGGGCTGCCCCCGCCTGCAGCGCCTGTCGCTCGGCCACTGTGACTGGGTGGACGGGCTAGCGCTGCGCGGCCTCGCGGATCGCTGCCCGGCCCTGGAGGAGTTAGACCTCACCGCTTGCCGCCAGCTCAAGGACGAGACCATCGTGTACCTGGCGCAGAGGCGGGGCGCGGGCCTTCGCAGCCTCTCGCTGGCCGTCAACGCTAACATAGGCGACACGGCTGTCCAGGAGTTGGCTCGGAACTGCCCGCAACTAGAGCACCTGGACCTCACTGGCTGCCTGCGAGTGGGAAGCGACAGCGTCAGGTGCCCGGGCCTGGGGGTCGTGGTGGGGATGGAGTGGCAGGAGGGCAATCACTCGGCGTCTGGGGTAGGGGTGAGCTGTGGTGATCAAATGCCAGAATTAGGAGGTTCCGGGTCTTCCTCCTAGAATGACCTCCTATTTGAAACAAGAAACGTTTCTAGGATTGCCTAGGCCAAAGAGCCCACAAAATGCTTGTTGTTATTTAAAACCAAAAACCAAAAAACGTTTAAACCAATGTTTACACATTGTTAGGTTTCCCCGTACCAAGTCAAGACTTGGGGATTCGCATCCAAGGGTGGAGTCTTGCAATCCTGGGCAGGGGTCAAGAGCAGGTTCCCCCTTTAATAGACAGGAAATCCGCCTCCCTGGAGGCTCTGAGTGTGGACCTCCTGTTCCATCCAAAGACCCCTCTTGAGCTAGAGGGACTCTGGGGCTTTGCTGAGGCCCAGAGTAAGTCCATGGGGTCCGGCTCCCGGCCCCCTGTGGCTGTGCATGTGGCCGCTGCCGGCCCCTGGCCTCACCCCACTCCTCCCCCAGGACGTTGGCTGAGTATTGCCCTTCGCTCCGATCACTGCGGGTGCGGCACTGCCACCATGTGGCCGAGCCCAGCCTGAGCCGCCTGCGGAAGCGCGGAGTGGACATCGACGTGGAGCCTCCGCTGCACCAGGCGCTGGTGCTGCTGCAGGATATGGCGGGCTTCGCACCCTTTGTCAACCTGCAGGTCTGAGCGGCCTGCCGACCGATAGGGGCACAGCTGGACTGTGTATGGGGGGTGGGGGTGGGGGCTCCTGTGATAGGTCGGTGCCCCACCCTGGAGCTTCAAATAAAGAGCTTTGTACCCCCTCTGGCGTGGCGCTACTGCCCTGTTGGAGATGGGGGCTGTGAGGTTGGCAGGGGAGGTCAGACAGACACAGGACGCAGCCCTTTTCCTCAGTTACCTTTACTGTGCCCGTGGGTGGGCTGCTCTGTGAGGACATTAACATTGTGGGACAAAGAAGTAGGGGAGGGGTCCCTGTGGTGGGTAGAGGGCGCCTGCATTCCCCCAGGGGTCTGAGCCTGAGGGGCTCAGTGGAAGCGGTACTTTCTGGCCGGCTTGAGATTGATGTAGGTGGCCTTCATCTCCTCTGTCTCAGGGTTCCTCACATCTTTGAATCGCTCTCCCTTGGTGCTGACGACCTGGTTGTCAATGTAGCGGATCAGCTTCTTGGGGGCCTATCAGGCAGTCAGACAGTGAGTTGCTGAAGCCAGAAGCTAGTCCCAGACTCCACATCCCCAGCAGCCAGCCCTCTCACCTCCTTGGGAGCCATGGGCCGGTGAATCTTCTGATCCTCTGCGCTGTCCACCATCATGTACCTGCCCAAAACTGGCTGCTAAAGCACTTGCTACCCTGGAAGGTCCTCTGGGGCCCAGCCCAGCCCAGACTCACTTCTGCAGGATGAAGGACTTCAGGTCATCCTTCTGGGGGCCTCGGAGGCGCCTGGGCAGGTCCTGTGGAGAGGGAAGGCCTGGTCTAGGCCCTGGGGCACCAGCAGAGGAAGCCGATGGGAATAGGCTGGTGGGGAAGGGGTCCATCAAATGGGAGTGCATCTGAGGCTATGTGGATGGGGAGGGGAGAGCCAGGTCTGAGGCCTGGCAGTGGTGTGGCAGGGCTAAGGGGATACCTGATTGGGGGCATCCTTCCCTTCTACCAACATCTGCACAGCCTCTTCCAAGTCTCCCTGGGCCTTGGCCAGCGCCCACTGGGCTTGCCCCACCGAACAGGTGGGGAACACTTCCAGGAGCATGTCCAGCCCTGGCAGCAGCTCCTCCTCAGCGCCTGCCTCCTGTGTGCAGTGCAGAAATGTTGACAAGAGGCAAGCTCTCATCTTTTCTCACCCCACCTCTCACCCTGGCTCCCTCACAGAACTCTCTCCACCCCAGTACCTTGGCTTGGGAGTCCCCAGAAGCGGTGGAAAGAGACTTGGTCTCTTCTTTGAGCTGTTCAGGCCTCTGCAGAGGATCTGGCAGGGTGGTCCCCTGACCGTGGACCTCCAAGCTCTGTGGCTGCAGGTTCTCTGAAGAGGGAAGAGAGGGCAGGCAGCAGGTTTGCCATGGCTTTGGGGTCACTCAGGTACCAAGGGGCTTAGACTCACCTTTGTTCCTGGCATCACTCAGCTGCCCTGCGAGCTTCTGCATCATGTCCCCTATTGTGCTCCTGAGAGGATAAGGGGGGGAGCGAGGAGATAGTTCCCTCCCAGCCCCCCACAGAGAGCAAGCCCCTTCCCTTGGCCCCAGCCAGCAGGCCCCACCTGGGAATGTAGGCAAAGCCAGGTACATAGGCCTCCATCATCTCTGTGAAGGCCTCCATATCGAAGTTCTCCTCTGATGGGCCTGAGGGGCCCAGGTCCTCCAGGACCCCGAGAACATAGGAGAAGATAACATCATCCAAGCCACTGCAAAGGGGGGACAGGACATCTCCTGCACTCCCACCAAGCCTGAGACTCCAGCCCTCAGTTTCTTCAGGGTTTTGCTTTCTTATCTGCCCAAAAAGGGCAACCGGGACAGATGGGGAGCAAGCCCACCCCAGCTCAGACAGAGGAGTGAGTGCTCCCCACCCCAGTCTTTCCAGCAGCCAGAGTCTAGAGGACTGCTCTGCCCAGCCTAGTCTGACACTGGTCCTAGCAGGGTCCCTTTCGGGGCTTGACTCTACCTGAGGTCAGCCTCTGGGAGGTGCATCTGGACAAAGGCCAGGAGGGCTGCACTGGCGATCTTCTCCAGCTCCATGCTACTGCCTCTGAAGGGACACAGGACAGGTTTGCCAGGCTTTCTGGCTATCCCCACCTCCCACTGGGTCTGGAGGTGGCTGACTCCTCCCTCTCGCCAGCTGTAGACCCATCTGTTGAGGAATGTCCTTAGCTCCCAGCTCCCCAGTCCTTCTCTGTTCCCCAAACGGGGCCACAGCCCCCTTTCCGCCCATCGGTCCATCTCATCTAGCCCAAGACAGGGCAGGGCACTGTCTCCAGAGAAGGGCTGAGTGGAGGTGCCTCCCACCCCTATCCCCAGCAGCAGGCCCAGACTCTTTGGCAAGAAGCCAAGGTCTTGGGGGTCACATGCCTTGTAGCTGAGGAATCCCATCATTGAGGGGGCTATTTGACCCCCATCTGACCACAAGGGGTCTCATTGTCTAGCCCCCTAACGAGCAGACCTCAGGACCAAGCACAACTCTTCCCCCACCCAGAAGAGGCCACCCACCCTCTGCACAAAGGGGTTTTTCTGGCGTTGGAGCCCAGATGGAAGGGGAAGTCTTTCATAGATTCTCTCCTCCTTCCAGCAGCATGGGGCTATCTGCAAAGGACCCTCGGATCCTCCTTCCCAAGACCTAGACAGGCCTGGCCTTCGCCCACCTCGCTCTCCTTGACCAGCCACACTGCTGTTCCTCAGACTTACTGAACTGCTTCCTGCCTCTATCCCCCAGATAGCCACGGGCACATTCCTTCACGTTCTCCAGGGCTCTGCTCAGAGACAGCCTCCCTGACATACCTCCCAAACCAGATATCACCCACCCACCCTAACCCCTTACCCTGCTCGTTTTCTACAGCATGCACTATAGCTTAACATGATGTTACAGATGTACCCATTGTCTGACTTCCGCAGCTAGAGGGAAGGGGGGCATCATTGCTTGTCTATTCATTAGTGTAGCCTAGCAACCAGAAAAATGCCTGCACTTGGCAGGTGCTCAATAAATACTTGTTGACTTTTTTCATTCTTAGCTTCATGCTTTTGACTTTCAAGAGTATACATGTGGGAGAGAATACATAGATAGTTGTGAATAGCTAAAGACCCATAGTCCAAATGTCTGCTAATCACTCAGAAAACCAAACCAAAGCAAATTCGCTGCCACCGACTCAATTCCAACTTAACCTTAGAAAAAAGCCCCTCAAATTCTACCTGCTCCAAACTCATGATACCTTTCCCAATCTGTGCCCGTCCTCAACACAAGAACCTCTTCCTGTTTCACTGGCTGATATAGTCACTTATCTGCAAACTTGGGCAGTGCCTTTGATTGCTCCTCTTTGGATGCCCCATCTGCTACATCCACTCCGTCATTAAGTCCTGTCCATTCCCTTTTTTCTAATCTATGCACATCTCCTCATGTCCACCTACACCTACACCAAAACTTCTCCGATTAAGGTAACCAGGTACTTTTTTGCCTTGGCTCACTGAGTTGAACCATATTTCTTTTTGATCTGTGCAAAGAACACACGAACAGTTTTTTGAAAAGGCAATCTCTCGTCGTTCTGCCTAATACTTGCCCTCTCAGTAGCCTAAACCTCAGTTTTTGAGTCTTCATGCTCACCTGACTCCCTTTTACCTCCCAGGCTATTTCTTCCCTGTCCCTGTGTCCCCTGCTTGCCTGCCACAGGCGCAGAGCTGGTCCTCAGTCTGCATTCTCTCTCCAGAAGATTCCAGCTGGGTCCTTATCTTTATGAACCAATTCTATGTCACCAACTGCCACGTGTCCTCTCCTCTAGGCCAGCCCCATCCCCTGTGCTACACACCTGGATATCTACCTCCCTGACACCCCCATGTGAACTTCTTGCAGGCACCTCACATTTTCCGTGTCTCCAACCGACTCTCTCCTAGGTTCTTACTCCTCCAGGACTGTCTTCAGGAAATGCATGGCCAAGCCCTAACTGTTTGTACTATACGTCTGGGAATGAGCCTTGACACCACTCTGTCTCTTGTTTTCCACATCCAATCAGTCACCAAGCCCTGACCATTCTCTCTCCACCACATCACTCCTCTCCATCTGTTCCCACTCCTGCCCTTGCCCTAACTACTGCACGTGCTTCCTACCACATCCCTCACCACCATCCTCTTCCCCCATCAACCTTTCCTCCACACTAGCTGTGGGATCTTCATTTTTAAATCCCATCACTCTTCCACTTTAAAGACCCATCAGTGGTTCCCCAAGACCACAATCTGCTTGTGGCCTTCGATTTAGGCCCTTACCTCTGCCCACATGTCTCCAGCCTCATGTTCCACACCCTTCCTGGCTTACTCCCTCCCCCCTGGTCTTCCTGCCATTTTGACTCAGGGTGTAGTGTAGAAAGGGCCTCTTTCACCTCCACCCTTTCACTTAGTAAATCCCTTATCACCTTTCAGGTGCAAAATTCTCTCCTTAAGGGACACTGCCCCGGGTCACCACAATGTGAGGAACTGTATTAAAGGGGCACGGCATTCGGAAGGTTGAGAACCACTGCTCAAGAACCAAGTTGGTCCCCTCTCCCTGACACCCTCAGTGCACACCACACTTTATGTTAATTAGCACCGCTCACCACATGGTCAAATAATAGTAATGACACATGCTTACTGTTTCTTCCAGTTGTTTCCTGAGGGCAGGGACTGCAGAAAATCAAACTAACTCGGTGCCAGTTAGTCAATTCTGATTCATAGCAACCCTACGGGACAGGGTAGAACTGCCCCTGTGGGCAGTTTACAGGAGTAGAAAACCCCATCTTCCTTGGGCAGAGCAGCTGGTGGTACAACTGGCTTATTCACCCATGTATGCCAGCTATCTTCCATATTGTAGGCACTCAGTAAACAGTACTCCCCACTTTACAGCTAAAGCAACTGAATTTCTGTCCCCCTCTCCTCTGGTTTAATGACTTTGCCAAAATGACCTACCTTGACTGTGATTGAGTGTAGATTTGAATCCAGGTTTCCTAGCTAACAGATTATATGCTAAGAACTACTGTGGACATGAGCTGCTGTTGTTGATAGTGGTGTAAAGACTCTTAGGTTGGGGCAGGGAGACCATCTGTGATCACAGTTCTCTGTCCTTTTGATGGATACAAAGAGTTGCTGTGACAGGGCAGGGTCACTTTGAAAAGCAGGACCAAGATGCCCTAGCCTACCACAGGGCTGCCTGGCTCTGACCCTGACCCTGCCTCTCGCTCCAGACCTCCAGCCTTGGGCCCCTGGGGAGAAGCAGAACTGCTCAGCCTAAGCATACCAAATTGTATCCTGCAACTCCCTGAAGAGCTGCCCTTCCCAGAGACCACCATCAACCCTGGGCTACATCCCTCAAACCTCTGTGGCTGTCAGTTGCCTAGCAACCCTGTGGAAGGCCTATGGCAGACGGCTGCCAGCATGTTCAGTTTCCTGAGAAGCCTCTGAGGGAAGTATCTAGTGTCTCAAAGTTTCTAACCATGTTTGTTCACAAAATCTTCCTCCCGTGAGCTTTTCTGCTCTAGTTTGTCCTTTAAGGGAACACAGCCCTCCCCTGCCCCCACATCCTATTTGTCTCGGCTCTCCCAACTTTACCCCTCCACTGCCCACTTCTCTTCACCTCTCCTCGTTCCGTTCCCACAGCTTCCTCAGCACACCTTGTCTACCAAGAGATTACTGGCTCCTGATAGTGCTTCCCCCATTGGGCAAGATTTGGTCTAGCAAACTGCTTTGCAAGTAGAAGCCTGAGCAACCAGCCTTCTCCAGGGTAAGAGGGTGGTTTCCATGGTTTCTCAAATTCCAGATGTTGCCCACAGGCCCCATTATTTCCTGGGACCCCAAATCAGTAACTGGTAGTTGGAGGTGCCCATGACACGTGACTATCATGCACTCTGCGCACACAATTTTGATGATGACAGTAAGTTAGCATGTACGAACTGCTTCGCTCGAGCTAATCACACTGTTCCAGCCCTGTACATGTACTAACTTGTTTACCCGCACAATTGCCTCCAATGAGATACTGACAGTAACACCTAAGAGGAAATGGTGGCTCTGAGAGGTTAAGTGTTTGTCTAAGGTAAATAAATAGCAGATTTACACTTTGGCAAGCATGGCACTGTTGCTATTTAATCCCCGTTCCATATACCAGCTCCTATGATGTAAATAGCATGGCCTCTCATGGGGTCTTCTGCCAGCCTCAGAATCTGCCTGTACCCTTCTCAGATCTACTTCCTCCCAGGCTCTCACCCTACCTGCCCTGCCTCACTTACTGGCCTGAGAGTTTCCCAAGGGCCACAGACCCGGCCTCTCTAAAAGCCCCATATAGACCTTGAGAGCCAACGTAAGCGAGGCTGCGGAAAGCTGCTCCGTGCTGTTCCCTGGGGGTGAGTCTGCTGGCTCGGTGTGAAGGGGAGGCACCGGCCGGCCGGCAGGGAGGTGAACCCATTGGGATAGCAGCAGGGGTCCAGCAAAGACATCTAGCAGGAGGTCTGCACTGCTTTGCCCAGCTCCTGGGTCCCAGCCCTGTGGTGTCCCAGGCACCTGAGAGCATTCTTTTCTCCCAACCCCCAAGTCAGTTCCTAAGAGGCGCCAAGGGCACTGAGGGCCACGGGATCGGAGCATCCAAAGTCAGCAGGCACACCAGCGGGGTGAGAGGTAAAGGAGGTGGGACCGCGATGGCCCACGCCGATAGCAGGGGCTCCCTACACCAGCTAACGGGGTATTCTCGGGCGTGCAGCGGAGTGGGCCTGAGGGGCCAGGACGATTCAGGCCTGAGCAAGCTGGGACGTGCATTTGATGCAGGCCGCTGAGGGACAAAAACGGGGATGCGGCGAGCCCGAGGGGGGAACACCAGGAGGGAACACACGAGACGAGTACCCGGGGTCAACGCTCGCCCCCACTCTCCCAGCCCTGGGCAGGGGGCTGGAAGGGAAATCACCTGCTCCGTCGGGCGCCGCCGGCGATTTGTCCCGCGCAGTGCAGCTATCACGCCCTCCCAGCCCCACCAACGGGATCCAAGGGGCGGCGCAGGGCGGTTTCTTCCAACGGCGCCGCGGTGGCCATTTTGGAGAAGGGCGTTTGCCCTCAAGTAGGCGGGGCGTGTTTCCACCCCACCCCCGTTCTCCGGGCTTTGGACGGGCTCTCGCGGGGGCCACTTTCTTGAGGGCAAAGGAGCGTTAAGGCGTGGAGGTCCTCCCTTGTGGGTAGAGTCGCAGTGACTAAAACTGTATCCTCCCCTTTTTGGTTCTTTTTTACCCTAAAGAAACCTTTTGACCGCCACCCTTTATCTTTCTGTCCTTCCCTGCCTCCAAAATCTCCGCCCTCACCCCCACATCTTCTGACCCCTTTATCTCCTCTGCTCTTCTCCACATCTCTTGACCACCCCCAGTAGGATCTGTGAGCTGCCGGCCATCAACCTAGACTTCGTGTTCGCCCCCACACATCGTGTCTTCGCCCTCCCGCAGGAGCCCTGGTAGTGTAGTGGTTACACGCGGGACTGCACACCACCAGGCCAGCAGTTCAAAGCCACCAGCTACTGTGAGGGCAAAAGCTGAGGCTTTCTGTTCTCGTAAAGCGCTGTGAGCCTCGGAAACCCACAGAAGCAGTGACGTTCTGCCCTGTAGCGTGTCTATGAGTCGGAATCCACGCAGTGAGTTCTTGTGGGTGACCTCTCCCTAGCCAAACCGAGCTCAAACGCTGTAACCCTTTCAGCTGACTTCACCCTGCCTGTACCCTTGGCACCCTTGACAGCTCTTGATGTCTCCCGAGAGTTAGAGTGGGCTACAGAGTTTGGATGGGAGTCATGGAGGCTGGTTTGGAACAGCCACAGCAATGGGGTGAGCATCTAGATCCAGGGTGGTCTGCAGCCCATGCCTATCCCTAGTGCCTTCAGCCCATGTTGGCAAGACTAGAGAGCTCCAAGAGGAGAGGTCTCAGCTTCCTCTTTCTGGTCTTGCTGCCTCAGCTTCCCGGTGCTGCCCTGTGGGGAAGTCCACAGTTACCGTTCCTGGCATGGGGGAGAGCTGTGCTAGCCTGTTCCCAATCTATGGTCTTTTTCTGAGCCCTGTTCTGTGCTAGTCCTCTTGTAGGGACTTGTGCCAACAGGAGCCTTAAAAGGGCCCTGCTCTCTTTCTTTCCAGTCTTGTCCCTTCTCACAGGCTCTCTCCTCTGTCAGGGCCCTCTGGCCAAGGACAGAGCTAAGGATTGGCAGCTGGAGGGGGTGGGGAGGAGTAGGAGTAGGGATTTGGCTTGGCGTCTTCCATAAAAACACTGTAGCTGCCAGCCTGGCGCTGTTGGGGTTAATGAGGGGTGGGGTGATAGCCACTTTGAACTCCAGCCAGACAGGTCCCTGGGAAGGGGATGGTGGGCAGCCTCTTCAGCCCCAGGCTTCTGCCAGCCCTCCAGAGACTAGCCCTCCCCACTCCCCACTTACTCACCCCACCCCCATTGCACAATGCTGATGACGCTTGAATCCCTACCACCCTCCTCATTCCGGGAATTTGCAGGTTTCCTCAGTAGAACTGCCCTCAGTTCTATTCAAAGCCCCTCCAGCCACTTCTGACCACTGTGTCCCCTCCCCTATCACCTATTTCTCGGCTAGCAGCTGGATGTTACTAGAGAATCAGAACTTCCTGAGCATTCTGAGAAAGACCTTATTTAGGGCTGCCCCTTGACCTCCCAACTCAAAATCTCTCTCTCTCACTGCCATCCCCTTGATGCCTTCAGACTCCTGACAACCCTCCAGGACAGGCTAGAGCTGCCCTGTGGGTCTCCCAGGCTGTCACTCTTTCTTGGAGTAGAAAACCTCATCTCTCGCCACAGCTGCTGGTGGTTAGCGGAACCAGGATGCCACCAGTAAGTCTGGAGGCCAGTGGATGGCCTTGAGGAGAGTTACCACTGCAGACTCAAGGACACACAAACTATGAGGTAGGCACCCCCAGCCTGCTTGGGACCTCTCAGTTGGCTGGATCTTGAGCCAGCCCCTCAGGCCTCATTCTCTCCCCACTATGGGAACAGACACCACGTGGCCTTTGAGTGCTATTTGAAACAATTGCTTGTGTGTGTGTGTGTGTGTGTGTGTGTGTGTTCACATGGATAGAGTGTGGCTACCCCACCCTCTACCCTTTCCTCAAATGAACTTTGTAGCTGGGGTTTGGGGTGCCTAAATCGCCTTAGCTGATGGGAAACACCAGAAATGCTGAAGTTCCTCCTAGCTCAATTCCCCATCGCCTTGTCTCAGAATGAGGAATTGAGCTTGAATGGGGCCTAAAGAGCAGATGTGTCGAACAGAGAGAGCAGAAAGAGAACCCAGCTGGCGGGTCCCAAGGGCTGGGAGAGATCCAGTAGGAGCATGTGGTGAGGAAGGGGACGCTTGGAAGGATGGGGGGAGGGTCCCCTCTCTGGCTTGAGGTCAGAAAGGACTCTGGGCAGGATGCCCAGCCCTCCCACACCTTCCTCCTTTCTCAGAAGAGCCTGCATGGGGCGGGGGCAGGAGCTGATTGGGCAGGCTGGGGGCCCTATTTAAGGAGTGCTCTTGGAGGGCATCTTTGCAGAGCTGCCTACCTAAGGAGTTACAGAGAGAAGGCTTCCTGGGTAAGTGCTGCTCCCTTTCTCCTGGTCTCAGGCAGGCGGGGTGTAAGATAGAGGGCTCTGAGCCCCTCTCCAGAAAATGACAAGTGTTTTTCAGGGAAGTCTTTCTCCTCCACCCAGAGACTAAAGGCCTTCACTTCAGGTGGGGAGCTGAGACCCCATGGTTTTCATCTGGAGGAGCCGCATCTCAGAATGATACAGGATGCCCCTCAGCCCACAGAGGGATGCCCTTCTCAGGCATGGGTTCCTCAACCCTGACCCCTTAAGCCCAACATCTGGCCCACCACTAAGCACATGTGGGCAGGAGATGATTCAAAACTGACCACCACAGAGTGCCCAGAGCCCAGTGGGCAGAATCCCTGCCACAGCCCTGAGCCCCCTCCCCTCATACTGTACCCTAATTCCTGTTGGAATTTAGAGGACCCCTGCCCATTTCTCCTGCTGTGGGCCCACTTTCTACTTCCAAACGCCCACCCTTTTCAGGAATCTTGGGATCCCAGGGTCCTGTCTGACCCATTTTAGGCCACAGTTGCTGGTCCTGAGAATGGGGAACTTCACAAAAGAGAGCCCATCAGAAAAGCATCACGAATGAACTTTGGTCCCTGGCTCTGAGAACTGAATTCCATAGGCTGTGAGCTCTAGCAAATGCCCTAGGAGCTCAGTTCTGGTGCCCGGCAGGCCGTGCTACACCGGTGGTGCTGAGACCTCAGGCAAGCTGCTGGCTCAGCACAGCATATCCCTGACGGCGTCCGGTCCCAGCCAGGCTCCTCCAAGCCCCCATCCTGCACCAGCACACTGGCCAGATCCTTTCATAACTTCAGCTCGGGCCACTCTTCTGTTAGAGACATTCAGTGGCTCCCCCAACTCCTTACCCTGCCGTGAAAGTAAACCTGGACTTAGCTTGAGCTCCCATGACTTCCTGGTCAGTGTCTGCCCTCCAGCGAACCCTGCCAGCATGCTTTCACGCTGGCTAGTCCTGCCTCGGTTTTCCTTAGAACACTTCCTTCCTATCGCTATCTGTGGGAACCTGATGGAGTCTTTCATGCTTCTCCCAGGTGCCCCTTCCAAGAAGCCCCTCTCAACTCCCCCAAAGCCCACCTGATCTCCTACAAATCCTCCCCACTCCTCTCTGGTGCGGCTGGCTGCACAAGTTCCATAGTGTTTGTTTACTTGCCTGTTCTGCACACAGTAGCTGTTCCATCAATATCTCTTGCCTTTCGTTGACCGGGTCTCATGTAGGAAGAGGGAGTTTGACCTAGAGACAAGACTCAGACTTGTCAAGTGCCTTCTTGATGCGTGACCTTGGGTAAGTTGCTTAACCTCTTTGGATCTCCGTTTCCTCATCTGTCAATGGAAATAATTATACTCACCCGAAAGTTTTATGGAGATTGGTGTAGGAGGTTACTCGTCCGGCTGTTCGCCGCAGGGACAGCAGTTGGAAACCGCCAGTCGTTCCGTGGGAGAAAGACTGGGCTTTCTACTCTCATCAACAGTTACAGTCTCGGAGACCCACAGGAGGCTAGTAAGAGTCAGCACTGACTCTGGCAGTGAGAGTTTTTGGTACTCTGTCCTAAAGGTCTCGATGAGTCAGAATTGCGTTGATGGAAGTGAGGGTTTGTTAAGTTTTTTTTGAGTTTGTAAATGGGTTCAGCACAGCACCTGGCACCTACCGACTGCTCAGTAAGTGTGTGAAGTTGCTTTGATTATTATACTCCCTGGCAGGACAATGGGTAAGTTGCTCAGCTGCTAACCAAAAGGTCTATGGTTCGAGCCCACCAGCCATGTTGCAGAAGAAAAATCTGCACTGTTAAGGCCTGTGAAGCCCTATGAGGTCACACTACCCTCTCCTGTAGGAGTTGGTTTCAACCCGCTGCTGGCATGCAACAAGTAGACTGTGAGCCAGCCAAGAGTAAGGCCAGGAGGAGGAACTGGAACTTGGAACTGACAGGTCAGGGCCTGTTGAGTGAGGGGCTCCAGATCAAATGCCAGGGCTGGATACCGAGGTAACTGGGAGCCCTGGATTTCCATCTGCTAGTGCTCATGGGCAGGTCACTCCTCTGTGGCATTGATTTCTGGGAGACTGTAAATTGAGGGTGTTGGCCCAAATGAACAGCAAAGTCCCTGCAGCCCACGTGTTTTATGAGTTCTGGGCTTGTAAGGGTTAAGTTCAAAGAAAAGATCAAAGGAGCAAGCATCCAGGCTCCAGAGCCCTGGGGCAGAGAGTTGAGGTTTGAAAGTGCCCTGGGATACTGAACCCAGAGGTGTGACTTTCCAAAGAGCCTGTGTTTCTGGGGGGGCTCCTCTCTCACTAGCAGGAGCCCTGGTGGTACATTGCTTAAGCAGTGTTGGTGGCTCAAACCTACTACTCTCGGGAGAATATGCAGCAGTCTGCTTCCATAAAGATTGTCCCATTGTCCTACTGTCAATTCAGATGC